CTGTTTATATAGAGCCCGCCTCAGCTGATCAGCCCCTCCTCCTCCTCACTTCACATTCGTTTTCCCCTCTCTGCCTTCTTAACTTTCGGTTTCCATTCTCCCGACATGACTCTGCTGCATGCCTGTAATGTTTTTATTACTTCAAACACTCCCCACTGTGAGTGAATTTATAGCCAAACAGGTTCAAGTGCAGCAGAGACAGAATCAGCTGTTGATGCAAACCTGAGCAATAAGAGCAGTAAAGGGGACTTTAGCTGCTCAGCTCATGATGTCAGGTCAAACCAGGGCTGTTTACATGGAAACGGAACTGAAAGGAAAACGCTGATGTTTTGGTCAGTAGTTTCAAAAGTTTGTTTGTTAAAGTCGAAAGCACTTTAATGGCCGATAATTGTATTTTTTTTATTTTTTTTGCTATTGCTGAAAGAGTACAACGAAATTTGGTTCTAGTGCACTGTTTTTAATGTATGTGTGCTTGAATGACAAAAAGTTATCTATCAATAAAGTTATCAATCTAAATAACACTTATATAATGTGAATCACAAATCAGCAGGAAGTGGAAGAAGTACCAATGCAACAGTTTCAAAATATTCCATTAGCAGTAAAACCTGCATACATAATCCTACTTAAGTAATATTAGCAAAATATTCTTAAAGATTCATGTTTTACTGATACCTTTAACTTCATATTTACTGATGTAGCTGCTCAAATGGAGCCTAGTTTCAGGTATTTACACATTAAATGATGGTGTGTGGGGGTCACAAGATATATGCAAGTGGTCATAAGGTGATTATTAGATAATGAAAAGAAGAATAAACAAAGTTCCAATGTTACAGTTGAAGCCAGAAGTTTACATTCACTGCATTGCCTTTAAACTGCATGACTTGGGTCAAACGTTTTGGGTTTCCTTCCACAAGCTTCTCACAGTAGTTTGATAGAGTTTTGGCCCGTTCCTCCTGACAGAACTGGTGGAACTGAGTCAGGTTTGTTGCTCCACACGTCTTTTCAGCTCTGTCCACAAATGCTCTACAGAATTGAGATCAGGACTTTGTGAGCAAAACACTCCCACAACATGATGCTGCCACCCCCGTGCTTCACAGTTGGGATGGTGCTCTCAGGCTTGCAAGCTTCCCCCCTTTTTGTGTCCCTGTGTGTATTTGCAAACTGTAATCTGCTTTTAGATGTTTCTTTTGGACTAATGTCTTCTTCCTCTCTGAGCAGCCTTTCAGCCCATGTCGGTACAGGACTGGTTTCACTATGGATAATGACTCTCTCTTACCAGCTTCAACAGCATCTTCACAAGGTCTTTAGCTTTTGTTCTGGGGTTGATTCGCACATTTCACATCAAGCACTTCATCTCTGGGACACAGAACCCATTTCCTTCCTGAGCAGTATGATAGCTGGACATTCCCGTGCTGTTTATACTTGCGTATAATTGTTTGAACAGATGAAACCTTCAGGCATCTGGAAATTGTACCCAAGGATGAACCAGACTGGTGGAGGTCCATGATTCTCTTCCTGATATCTTGGCTGATTTCTTTAGATTTTCTCACGTTATCACAAAAGGAAGCAGAGTGTTTGAGGTGTGCCTTAAAATACATCCACAGGTGTTCCTCCAATTAACTCAAATGTTGTCAGTTAACCTATCAAAAGCTTCCAAAGTCATGACATCATCATCTAGGCTTTCCCAAATAGTTTGAAATCATAGTAATCTTAGTGTATGTAAACTTCTGACTTTGAAGAAAGTAATAAAAAATTCTCTAAAAAATTCTCTTTGTCATTATTCTGGTGTTTAGCAAACAGAAATAATTTTGATAATCCTAACTGACCTAAAACAGGAAAAGTATAGTCAGATTTAATGTCAGACAGTGAAAAAAAAAGTTTTATGTCCTTTTTATACAGTGTCTGTAAACTTCTGGTTTCAACTGTATAGAAATTAAATTTATATTTAGGTGTTTTTTTTCTCTGTCATTTTTGATTTAACTGTAAAATTCTTGACATTTACGGTTATTTAAAAGAGACCATCTAAGAAATTTAGACTCCTGTGTGAGATAGAGGACCTCAATTATGAATAAAAATGTTACAAAATCCTAAATTGTTGGATAAACGTAGTGGAGATTAGGTATAAAGAAGCATAAAATAGAAAAATACTACACAGCGCTCACACAGATGTACTTTTAAGTACTTTCTAGCACCGTAAATGCAACCAGTGTAAAACTATTGGC